TAATGTAACGGTCTATAATAAATAGATATTAATGATATAATCCATGAGTACCTAACATTATTCTAAGAAGATTTTAAATGTTAAAATATTAGGCACAGTTTGAGTTTAATTCGTGTCTTTATTTAAAACGGTTCGACTATCAATTCTTGTAAATGCCGTTTAGTGACCCTTTAATTATTTTCGAAAAATTTCGTAAATTTCGCCAACTTAAATGGGAAAAATTAGCTGCCAAACTGTTTAAACATCCATGCATATGCAAATGAAATGTCTGTTTCCGTTGCCTTTTGCTTGTTAAAAGACGAAAGTATACAAGTTACTTGAAACTGCAATGTGGCAACTTATAAAGAAAGAGATTGACGGCATGGGATTTATCCTGAATTAAAAATTATTAACAAAAAATCAACTAATAAATGAAATAATAAGTACCTATCTTAATTTTATAATCTCTAGTAAAAATAAATGACCACTTGCAAATATTTCGTTTTAATTAAGATACACACTGTATGAGATAAGTAAAATATACAGCATAATTTCCTCGCGGCGAAACTGATCCTTATGATTTTTTAAAAGCGGATTTGGTGGAATTAGTCTGTCCTCAACAATCCATAATGGAAATATAAATACTCTATAAACCGTAATAACTTTATTGTGAAAGTATTTTAAGAATTTTTTTAAACTTGTCTAATATTTTTCACCTGGAATATAACAAACCAAGGTACAGATCTATTCTTTGTATCGTACTTATAATAATTCCAAATAAATAACTGAGTAGATTCCTGAATTATCAGCAAAAATTATGGTAACTACTATAAACAACGATAATTAAAGTTTTAATCAAACAACAAAAAATTGTAACAAAATATAAATATAAACTACATGCACTTTGCGCTTTTTTCAATGTGCGCTTTCTTCCATGTGCGCTTTTATACCCGTGAGCTTTTTTCCGTGTGCGGTTTTTTCCGTGTGCGCATATTTCCTCGTGCGGTTATTTCCTGTGCGCTTATATGTCTGTGCGCATATTTCCTGTGCGCTTATTTCCTTTGCGCTTTTTTCCGGTCACCGTTGGTGGCATATGAAAAACTTTTTTATTATTAATATTAGAAATAAAAGTTATTCTTCATAAAAAGTCTAAAACTTGAAATACCACCATCAAATATCAAATTTTATTAGTCGTATACGAGGTTTGTCAAAAATAAATGGACTTTACTCTTCAGCAAAATTTTAAGTTTTGAACCATGCATAATTTTTTATCAAGAATAAATTTTTTCACAAAACCAATAAAAAAGCGTTTTCCATATGGTTCCAATTTAAGTAGACACACTGTATAAAAAACGTTTTTATTATGAATTTTCCGGAAAAAAGTGAACAGTTTTACATTGTTTTAAATCTAAAATACAATCATATATTATCAGATATCAAAGTGATTCAATAGTATACCAGGTGTGTCAATATTGAAAATTATTAAAAAGAAAAGTTGAACTAGAATTCAAAACTTTGTTTTAATATTAAATTACATCCATATTACACTGAAAAAAAAAAGATGGATATTTTTTTCTACTTTTCTCTTTAAAATAGACAGACAGAGACAGACAGACAGAGACAGACAGAGACAGACAGAGACAGACAGAGACAGACAGAGACAGACAGAGACAGACAGAGACAGACAGAGACAGACAGAGACAGACAGAGACAGACAGAGACAGACAGAGACAGACAGAGACAGACAGAGACAGACAGAGACAGACAGAGACAGACAGAGACAGACAGAGACAGACAGAGACAGACAGAGACAGACAGAGACAGACAGAGACAGACAGAGACAGACAGAGACAGACAGAGACAGACAGAGACAGACAGAGACAGACAGAGACAGACAGAGACAGACAGAGACAGACAGAGACAGACAGAGACAGACAGAGACAGACAGAGACAGACAGAGACAGACAGAGACAGACAGAGACAGACAGAGACAGACAGAGACAGACAGAGACAGACAGAGACAGACAGAGACAGACAGAGACAGACAGAGACAGACAGAGACAGACAGAGACAGACAGAGACAGACAGAGACAGACAGAGACAGACAGAGACAGACAGAGACAGACAGAGACAGACAGAGACAGACAGAGACAGACAGAGACAGACAGAGACAGACAGAGACAGACAGAGACAGACAGAGACAGACAGAGACAGACAGAGACAGACAACATGTATTTAAGTTCTTTTATTTTACTAAATTTTTTTACTAGAACAATTCAGTCAATAAGGGTAATGTGAATAAAAATTAGGTAATTGCTTTTACTTAAAAATGAGGAACAAATTTTGCTTACATTTAAAAAAAAATACAATTTCTGGAACTTATTGAAGTTCTTAGAGTCTATATCAAATAATTCGTATCCCCCAATCTAGCTACGTCATTGGTTAGTATGGCGAAGGTAAGGGAAATGACGTATGACATTTGAGAATATATGGTAGAAAGGTTTCTCCTTTGGAATTAAACCTACTTGTTCCAAGCAATTTGCAAATGCAAAGTTTTATATTGATAACCTGGATATTTTTTTTGTAACAAAATGATTTTATAATTCGAGTTTATTTTAAATTTTATATCATTTGTTTCAAAGTTTATTCTCCCTCTTCAGGATCACCATCAATTTAGTTTTTTTGCTTTTTAAATAAGAGCCTATATCTTATACTTGAGAGAAGAGAAATTAATTATCTTTTGGTGGTACATTTAGAATTATAATTGGATTATTTTTACATGCAAATATTTTTAATACAAAACAATGGCGTGCCGTTGTAGAAAGGGGAAACAGAAGTGATATTTTTAATGTGGACATTTAAAAATATATACATAAAAAAAAATTTATTTATTGGGGATCAGTCTAAAAAGGTGGCTACAATTTAGTAAAACCCTTTGATCATCGTCAAGGCATTAAAAAATATTTATTTTAATGATTAACTGGTCGTGAGGTTAAAATTTAAAGTTACAGATGCACAATATAGTTAACATCGCAACACTAATATCGTCGGCTTTTTGCCAAAACAAGATAAGTGCATTTTTACCATTTTTGCGTTAAGTGCATTTTCGTACCCAAGATGGTTATAAAAATATACTGCAAAAACCAGATAAATGTTGGACAATTGAAAACTACTAAAAATGTAGGCTTGTTTTGGCAATAATTCATTTTGCTCAAAACTACAGCTAAAACATGTTAAGTGAACCTTTAGCGAAAAGGATGAATTTCATATGTAAAAAGGGAATTAATTCTTCTGGAAAAACAGGTTAAGTGCCATTTAACTTATTTTGGCTGTTGAAGTTTAGAAGATTGTTAGAATGCCTATGCGTAAAAAACAAATAAGTGTCAATTATCTAATTTTTGCAGTTTATTTTATCGTTACATTAGCCTGCTTAGAGTGCAAAACCAAATAAGTGTCACTTATCTTTTTTTTTTCTGAATTCCTAATAGGTTAAGTGTAGAAAAAAAATTGTTCTACTAGTTATACATTTGCTAATTAATATTTTTTTTGTAATAATTATGGTTATAGTATCATAATCTACGTTATTTTACCATTTAATAAATGTTTTCTTACATGAAGTTGTTTTAGGGTAGGTTAAAACTTTTAAACTTAATTTATTCAAAACTAACAAAACGTAACTTATCTTGTTTTGGCAGTAAGCCAATGATATATAAAAAATTGATAATTTATTTTATCTTCAATACCGGTATTAAAAAATATTTAATTTCAAAATTCTCCTACAACTGTGTTAAAACCGAAATAATCTGATAGTAATGATAAAAATGTTAGTTTTTATAAAAAAATTTTTGTGTGTTGTGTGTATTTTGAATTTGATTGGTCAACTCAAGGAGACATTTTAAAAATGCAAGATGACAAACAAGATAGCAACTATATTACTGACAGTGTTATCAACTTAAAAATTTTAAAAACCTTTTTAGACTGTATTTCCTAAGAATTATATATTTTTTGTCAACATATTCTATATATTTTATACTGTTATACCTACAGTGTGACCACTTCATTTCCACAAACAAATTTTATTTAATAAATATATCTAATTTTGCTATTTTTTTCTCTTTTCAGTGCTTCAAAATCAATGTGTCGTATCGCTATTAGTCCGAAAAATATAACGGGTAGGAGTGTGTTGGAGTTGCTAGTATACATCAATTTTACTCGGTTTTAAAATTAGTTTTTTTCGAAAAGCAACTCATGTTTCTTGACGTCGTTTATGCCGATGTGACACATGCGCAGAAACACCTTTCTGTCTGTTGTATCGACATAGACGATGTGGTGTATTTGTAATCGTTTCATTTGACAATAAAGACGTTTTATCTTCAGAACTTTATACCTTCCGAATTTATTTTCTGTGGAACAAGTACGAGCGGAAAATATTTTGCAGGATTTAGTTTTTCGAAGGTGTAAATTCTGCACAGATCGAATGGACAAGGCTGCAAAAATAGTAGACGGCGATGGTTTTACGGTTTTTATTGAACTCAAATGAACTTATTTGGAAAAAACCGTATTTTTGTTTAATATATAGACAACTATTTATTTTTTAACATTTTTCCAAAACATAACAAAACCTATAAAAAACTTCTGCTATTTTAAGCAATAGGAAATAACTTCCTTTTTAATTTTCATTCTGTAACATAAAAATAGACGGTTTTAAAATATTTTTTTATTAAGCAAACTCTTCATAGTTTTCAAAGTTCTATCTATTTTTTCTTTAGCACCTTGTATATATTATAAATATTGTTATACTACATAGTTCACCCTTTATAGTTTTCAAAGTTTTATCTATTTTTTCTTTAACACCTTGTATATATTATAAATATTATTATTCTATAGTTCACTTTTAAAATTTATACACAAAAAATATAATGGTTACCAAGTAAAAAAATTTGAGTTTAATAACACCCTGGAGGCATTGAAGGCTTGCTATTGAAACGGAATGAGACGTTGAGTATTGAGGTCAGAATGAAAGATCGTCGCCGGGAACAGAAGATTTCCGGAATTAAATATACCGGGTGTCGCGAAAAAATGGTTTTTTGGAACTTGGATGGGAAAGACGAGACAACGAATGGAACATGGGACTTCATAGACTTCAATTGAAGGTGAGTGTTTATTAATTTTTTATTTATACTTTTGATACCATTTTTGAATAGATAAATAAGTGAACTATGTAAATAACTGTTACAATTTCTATGCCAGGAACATATTCCCCCTCTATAATAACTTTGTTTACGATTTTTTAATGATTGGCACTGTCAACCTATAGGAGATTTTTTAATTAAGCTCTAGAAACATTCGTGTTGACCAATTGGGTCACAGTACTACTAGATTGTACTAGAGAAAGATAAAAAACAATCGTCTCTTAGAGTCAGGTCGCTTTGTTCGAATTGTTTTATGTATTATTGTGGTGATTTTCTGCATACATATTTTTTTGCAAACTGCTGTAAAATATTAAGAAAACACTGGTGATATAAAATACCTAAAAGCCAATACACTAACTTTCACAAGTATGTAAAATGTACATTGTAGAATTGGAATTAGACTTTTGAGGAATATAAAAAATTAATTATTTGGTTTAAAAGTAAAATGCACAGATGTAAAAAAACGGTCGTCTGTTTCCTTGTTCTGTCTTCATCTTTTTTATTTATCTTTGATGTTGCTTTTTTCTTCGCCGTCTCCCTATCAATGGTCGTCAAGGCTCGACAGATCAGGATGCACCTACCCAGCTAGCACAAAAACATCACATCTACGTTAATAGGCTGCAATTTTAGACTCTTTATAGTCTACTTTTATGTATGAGAGAGTAATAAAACACCATTTCTAATGCAAAACTTAGTACGGTCATTTTAAATATTTTTACAGAATAATCTAAATATTTCCTAAAATTGTAATAAATGTACCTGAGCTATTACAAGTTTTGGGTCTTTTATTGGTTCTTTATAAACATAAGCTATACAGAACAATAGGAAAAGGTTTGGACAGGCCAAAAGCCCTGTGTATTAAAGATTATATAGCCGTATCTTAAGATTATTTTCAATAAGTACCTATTTGCCAATTTTGTTTTATTTTAATTCCAAGAATTTCTTACAGTAATCGAATTATAAGTAATCCCAACAAATTTCACCGAAAATGCGATTATAGGTTTTCCATTTAGTAAGGAGGTCCAAGTTGTGTATTCTTGACAGTTTACTAAATGTCGTTTAGTTGCAACTTGCAAGGTGCAGTGTGAATTCTAGTGTGATCATGGAAAATTTGGAAGGGCCGCGTAAACGACAAAAAATCGGTCCTTTAACAGTTAATGAAAAAACATTAATATTTAATTGTTTTAAATCATTTACAGACAAACATTTATGTAAAAGTGTTGATGACACAGTGGAATTAGTTAGCAGTACGCTTTGTATTGGGAAATCTACAATTTACAGAGTTGTTAAAGAAGAGAAATGTGGAGAGTTACAAACAGCACGTAAAGCTCCAGGAAAACCAAAATTTCAATTAGAAAATCTTTTGAAAGAAAGACTTCGAAGGAAAGCGCATGCGTTCTTCTTTAGAAAAGAATTTCCGACAGTAGACAAAGTTCTTGCCACGGTTTGAGATGATAAGGATTACCCTGAAATGAGTCGAAGCACACTATGGAAACTTTTAAAAGAAATAGGTTTTCTATGGAAAAAGCATTCCAGAAAGTCTATTTTAATAGAAAGAAGCGATATTGTAGTATGGAGAAGGAATTGCCTAAGGACTATAAAAGAAATGAGAAACCAAAGAAGATGAAACATGGATCAACGAGGGACATAAACCAAATAAATTTTGGCAAGATGAAACTGTTACAAGTCGAAAACAGGCATTTTTAAAATAATTTATCTACTGGTTTAAATCCACCATCAGGAAAGGGGCGCAGACTAATAATAGTACACATCGGTAGTTCAAACGGTTTTGTTAAAGGTGGTTTATTGACTTTTGAATCTAGTCGTACCGGTGACTACCATGAGGACATGAATGCTGATGTCTTTAAAGAGTGGTTCAAACAAATTATAGGTCTTCTTCCTCAGAACTGTATAATAGTAATGGATAATACAAGTTATCACTCGAGACTTATAGAAAAAATGCACAACCAAGTGGTTAAAAAAAGATTTACAGAATTGGCTAAATTCAAAGAATATTAAGTTCCATCCCGGTTCTGTGAGAAAAGAACTGTATCATTTGTGTTCCCTTCATAAAGAGAAATTCAAAAAATATGAAATTGATGAAATTGCAAAAAATCGTGGGATGCGGTGGTTAGATCACCACCATATCGTTGCGAAGTAAACCCGATTGAACTGATATGGGCACAGATAAAGGGAGAAGTTTCAAGAAAAAATTCTTTTAAAATGAGTGATGTTAAACAGTTGTTTTTGGAGGCTGTAAATAATGTGAAGCCTGAAAACTGGGAAAAGGCAGTAAATCATACGATTAAAGACGAAGAGAAAATGTGGAAGTTGGACAATATTACTGATGAAATGATCGAGCCACTCATTGTAAATATTGGTTGCGACAGTTCATCTTCTGATTTCGATTCTGATTTGGATTTGTAGGTAAGAAGTAGTTTTTATATTAAAATTATTATTTATAAACGTAACGTTGTTTAAAAGTCAAAGTATAAACCCTTATACCTACATAACCTGTTTGACACAATGTTCTTAACATACCTTGTGGAAAAATAAAACATTTAAAAAAAAATTGCACTTTTTTTACCTTCAGCTGTTTAGAAGTTATAAGCAGGTTAATTAGGTGAAAATATAAGTGTATACTCGAGGAATAACTTCAAAAAATATTTTAACTGTGTAATAAAAGAAGTGGTACGCCTATGGATTACGAACGCTTTATTATTTTAATACTCTCTCATACATAAAAATAGACTATAATATTAACCTACACTTCTAGTAATTTATGTTTTAACATTTTTAATTTCAAGCATAAATAACTTGGTTATATTAACACAAATTTTACAAATGTTGACTTGGTCAGTTTTAGCAGTAAGCCCACGATATTTTGGTTCAAACCATGTTCCTTTCAAAGATATGTGTTGTAAAAACGGACATTTGCAGTAAAAAAGGACATTTTAAGCTTTACAGAGTCACAAAGACATTTTGCTTTAAAAAAAGGACTGTCCTTTTCAAAAAAGAACAGGTGGCAACTCTTAATGTTAATAGAAAAATGTAATTTTAAACCTGATTTATTTCTTATTATATATTAGTGGTGGAATTGGGCCTTATTACATTACTTTATCACTTATAATTCTGTACAATCTTTACGTAATATTCATCATAAGTTACAAAAAAAAGGAAAATGTTTCTGCACATTACTACCGTTCATCTTCGGCGGCCAATCATCCGCGATCCATCCTAAGCCAAGAAAGTGTCCATCGTCGAAGAAAGCACGCGTGGTAAACTCCGCAAACCGGTCATATGGCGATCGGTGGCCCGTTCTGCCATGCCGAGATAGAGTTCAGTAGTCCCACGGTCTACGTTGAGGAGCGACGACGAACCGCAATCGCAGAGATCGCGACAAAGTGCGCGAATTCCCGCTGCCCGACAGCATGCGGGCGCACTCAGTGCCGCCGCTGCCCTTTCTGGTTTTGGTGGTGTGTTTGGCCCTTGAAACCGCCGCTGCTTCTGTTCTGCAGGACTCTCTGTTGAAGTGTCCTCACGAGGAGCACGAGGCGTGCAGGTGTTCTAAGGATCTTAAGGATATATATTGCAGGACGGCCGGCTTCGAGAAAGTGCCGCTTAACTTACCGGTCACTGTCTCTAAATTGTGAGTCCATTTAAGAGGATTTTAATACATGACTTTCTTTTTAATGAAATTTATAAACAGAAACAACTTTTGACAACTCCTTTACCGATACAATTTTAAAAACAACATATGTCGAAAAATGTCAAAAACTGTCTAAAAATTCCCAAATTAAGGGAACTGTGACAATAATAGTGGCCACATTGTTGTATTTAACAGCACAAACGATGATTTGCAACATTAGTGACACATACACACTATAAAACTCTATTAAGACTACTAAGTATAATGTTTTTGTATTTCCCAAAAAAAGCTGATTTGGACATGTGTCGTTTTTATAAAAAGGTCTTCAATTGAAAATACTTGGAAATTTAATTTCCTAACCAAAAAATAATCGTATTTTAGAAATTTTGTAATTGTTATGAAAGAAAGAAGAACTTTTAGGAAAATAATTCTTAATAATATTAACATTTCTTCAATATTCCTGTATCAATTTTCGTTATGTCCTTTTTTTATATATTTCAATTTTATTCCTTTTCTTATTATCATTTCCTTCTGCTTGATTGAAAAATATCACGATTTATGATTTCTTTCTAGTAAATTTATTTGCTTTTTGTCAAATGCTCTCTATTTTTAATATATAGTGATACAAATAACTTTTAAGATTAAAAAATATATGACTTTGAATGACAGTAACATACTATTATTAATAATATTCTGTGTCAATCTAATAATTAAAATCATAATGTAAAATACTTATTATATTTTTGATGAAATCATCTATAAATACTTAAATGCCTTATAACTCGCATTGCTTCATTTTGATCTTTCAAAACGTCCGTTTTTTCGTTTAGAGATTATTCTGGAATTATTCTTGATGTCATTTACGATGTGTTTAAAAAGAGACAAAAAGTAACTCATGAAACTTCAAAGCAAGCAAATGTTTACGAGTAACAAAAGATCATTGTTTACAGTGTTAACTAATATAGGAATAAAAGAAATATGATCCCCGGCGAGGTCTTATGGAACTTCCTTATGTTGTCAGTAAAATATTTAGTTTTTAAAGTTATATACAAGTACAAAAAATCTGTCTCTAGGTATATGAATTTGTTTATCTATATGAAACATAAATGGCACAATTAAAAATGTTTCTTATAAAGTAAGGAATATATTTTTCTTTTTTTTTAATTATATAACTACACATTGTGTGATGTTACGAATCTAAATATATCATTGCAAGACCATTTTTATAAAGATAACAACGTTGTTCGTTCTTATAAATATTTTTTTTATATATAATATATGTGGATCTGGGAAAAATATTCAATTTACATAA